GATAAAGAATAAATTGTGCTAAATATGGTCCAAAACATATCCTTAATTGAAATTAAGTACATCAGTACTCTCAATTCATGAAAAGTTGATATTTTGATGATAGGTTGGACAAACTCGAAATATTCAAATAACACCAAGAAATCGACTCCATATCATACAGGGCGTGCTAAAATTACTATTATTTCCATTGTGCATAAAAGTAGTTAAAAGTTCATTTTTTCAAATGAAACCCACTGTATATTACTCGGTAAATTGAAAGATGGTGAAAAATGCTTCAAGATAATCAATGTCACTGTTCCAAGAAAATTGAGCATCAATGTTCAAACCTAAACATTTTACAGATGAAGTTTGTTGTACTGACTTGTCATTTATTTTGACCAGAACACTGCGACCATTCTCACTTAGTGAAAAGACGATTGTATCAGTTTTTGAGCTATTGAAAATAAGACCATTTTGAGAACAATATTATTGCATATTAGCTACAGCTTGATTGGCCTGACACGGCAATCCCTCATGATCCGAGGACTCCAGAGACAACGAAGAATCGTCGGCAAATTGCATTGTACAATGTTGACGATTACTGTTGTTGAGATCATGTACGAATGAATGAAAGAACATAGGTCCTAAGATGCTACCCTAGGGAACACCGGTGAGAACGACACAGATTCTAGAGTGGAAGGTGCCAGCCTCCAGTTTAACCCTCACAGTTTGCGTTCTGCAATCCAGATAAGATCTCAACCAATCCAGATATGAGCCACAAATTCCTAGACAAAACAGCTTGCTCAAAAATAAATCGAGATTAACAGTGTCGAAAGCTGGTGACAAGTCGAATAGAACACTTATCGGTTTTTCACCTGTATCGAGATTAGAAATGACTTCATTGACTAAACTCATCGTGGCATCTTGAATGGATTTGCCAATTTGGAAGCCAAATTGACAGTCTGGGATGATTTTATACTTCTTGCAAAAAGAGATGAGTCTTCTTTGATATCTGATCTCGAATATTTTGGAAAATGCAGATAGTAACGCAATTCCTCTGTAACTGGAAACCGAGTGCTTGCCCTTTTTCTTATGGATAGGTACTATTATTTCATTAACGCAATATAACCCGAAACGATTTTTTAGGTTCTCTGTTTTGTGTCCATCTTTTTGTCTATTTGTCTGTGCGTTTGTGCATGCTCGTCTCAAAAAACGGCTCAATCAATAACCATAACAAACAATGTTTGATTTATCAAAATCAACTCATGAACGAAAAAGTAAATCCAATTAATTAATTCACGCCAAATATTTGTTGAAAAATAAATTCGCTGATTTGGCTTGAACTTTCGTTAACTATTCTCATAGTCTGTAGAGCAATTTGCTCATTCATGAATACATGAGAACTTACCGCTATTAGAATATTCCAAAACACACATAAGGTTATCCATGATAATGAAACAAATCAACACCCGTAACTTCACTAAAACCGTTTTTGCTAGAAAGTAATTTCCTCACTTCAACTGAGGAATTGAAAGTGATAATTGTTTTATTATCATCGAAATAGTACAATTTCATAATATTAGGCACTAAATTCTCAGAAATATTATTGAATTAAACCGAAAACATTGTTTTCGAACACTATAATTATAGTGAAAATTGAAATGGAGTAAGTAATTTATATACACAAAAAATTAATTGATTATTGGAGTCCTTCCATTTCGAGATAAATAATGGGACGATAAGATGGTCTGCAAGATCACCAGACTTTACTATTTTAGACTATTTTCTATGGGGGACATTAAAAAATAGGATTTACGTTGGCAGAGAGATAAAAAATGTGGAAGACTCGAGATTCAGGATTTTGAATGATTTCGCAACAATGCAGCAAATAAGTGTATTAAGGGCAATAAATAATATGGAAAACTGAATTTAAAAATGTTTCGAAATGGAAAATTACCGAAACATCCCGAAATATAAAATTGAAATTAATTTCTCAGTATGAAGTGAACGTCTACGATCCAAAAACTTCAACAAAAAATACAGGTCCGTATTTAAAAATTCAAAGATGGGGGTGGCCCAAGTCAGATGACACCCTGTATAAAAGATTCATGGATATATTCTTAGAGGCTACATCAAGTGCCAATAGCAAAATATGGACAGATTTTCAATATGTCTGCGAATAAAGAAGAAGGCAAAAAAATTATTTGGGAAATTTTGGTGTTTCCTATATATCTCCAGAACTAAAAGAGATATATTCGATTTCTTGACATCATTGAATAGGTCTCTAAAATACACAACTATGCCACAATTTAACCGACACTCTATCTCTTATCGTTTACGAGATCCCCATGTACAGACACGAATTTGAATAGCCCTGTAAAATGGTAAATAAATTGCAGCAACCACTGAAGGAAGGTTCTTGAAAGTGGTGTAGTAACTTTTTTCCAAATATAATGAATAATTATTTCTGTTTTTTTTTCATTTCAGACAATTTGGCTTTTTATGACATACAAAAAAATATATAAATTTTGATAAAATATACAAACTAATAAAAATACACATATAATAATGAAGTCGGTTTTTTTATTGATTGTCGCTGCCTGTACATATGTATCTAGTAGATATTTGTAACGTGTTAGGAATTACATGTTAAAATGTAAGACCTCGTTAGTCCTTAGTTAGCCCAAGTTTCTCAACTTCTTAGAGTTGTCGTTCGTATGGGGGCGACAGCTGAATAACGGAAAAACAGATTTTAAACAAATTTTTAAACAAAAACATCAACAAATTGATGGATTCTTAGTCTCGGGGTCTGTTTAATCCATCTCTTTAGTTTGGAGATGAAAAGTTTCTGGGCATTAATCAGCTTCAGGTATGTTGGAATGACGCTATATAATTATGGTCCTGAGTGAACGAAACTATGCTGTTAGGTATTTTTGAGTGGCCGAGTGATCACATAGGAGTTTTGTCTATTTCTAGTGTTATAAGTGGAGTCTGAGAGTTTTAAATCAGCTATGTAGAAGTGTTGTCTAGCAAAAGTTTTCAAAAAGTATAGTTGTCTTATATCAAGGTGACCTGTTTTTGTATATAGTTCTTCAATTGAGAAGATGATTGAAAGTGAGAATGTATGTTAATTTGACCAGGCGGTTTTGTATTCTTTCTAAGGGGTTTATATATTTATTAGTGGCAGAGTCCCATGCTATTATTCCATAACGTAAGTGGCTTTCAGCTAGCGCTCAGCACAAGATTCTCATTTGCTGTTGATCTAGTATTTTATTCAGATACTTGAATTCGTGTAGTGTGAATCTAAGTTTTATTGCAAGTTAATTGATTGACTTGTGTGTCCCATTTCAAATTGTTATCAAGGAAAATACCAAGATATTTTATATGCGTTTTTGCTGATATTTCGAAGGATGTATTTTGATTCGGTAGTCGGTCGTTAACCGGGCGATTCGACGTGGGCGCTTTGTTCACTCAGTCAATCAACCGATGTGGAAGTCGATGGTTCAAGCCGCAGACTGAACGCTCGATTTTCACTTGCTATATTCCAACCCGTGTTAGGAATCACACGTTAAAAGGTAAGACCTCGTTAGTCCTTAGATCGCACAGGTTTCCATTCCTGAGGGTTGTCGTTCATAGGGGTGCGACACCAACTCAGTACAAAATACTTTCAGTATTACTTTCACTGTAGGGATAGTGGTGCATAACTTTAAATTTGCGCCCTTCTTTGTATTATGAACTCTAGCTAAACTATCAGCACTAGGAACCCAACAATATATAATCTTTTTTCAAATAGAAATTGGACTCAGACAAAATAATATGTGAACTCTCTCTCTCTCTCAATATCAACTGGTTAGTAAAAAAAACAAACACTCACATAACACCTCTTTGGGTGCTTCATGGTCAAGCATAGGTTCCGTTGATCCGAAGTGTCTTCAACACCAACGCTTTTATTTCAAACTCCCGTGTACACATTACCGGTTTATGATTTCACTACCGATTTTCCTTAAATTTCGCACCACGCGCTCACAAACAAAATAACTCCCCTATTCAGGCCACCTCCCTCAGCCTCAAAGGGTGAGAGATGAGATCCTCGATCTCGTCTTGACGGGCTCCGGTGACTGACCTTTTCTGTGCAAAAAACTCCCAAGCCTTCGCGTTAGCAACGCTAGCCACAAAACCTTCATCTCAGCTTTTTTAACTTTTCCAAGCGTAGGAGCGCGGCAGGATGTAATAAATACATTTGTTTAGTCTAGCCCACCTTGTACATAACCACAACGACGCTCAAAGATCATACAGTCATAAAGTAGTTCAAATGTTTTATCATCTGGGAAAATATCAACACCAAAGAACAGGGTGATCGACCATGAATAAAATAATATTTTACGTTAACCATCGCAATGGCATTCATTACAAAATATGCATTAACTGGCACGAAACGAAATAACAAAAGTACTTTGTAACTTAAATCCACATATATTGTGAATAGATATGATCGTCGTTTTGAAATGAGGCGCTCACAATGTGTCAATGTGAGTTACAACTCTCATTACCTGTCTCACTATTATGTTTCTTACATCAAAATAATAATCCTTCTCGGTCTATACAAATAACTAGTTGAGCATTCGACATTTTTCAGTAAAGAGGTGAACTGATTTGTGGGTTGACCAGAATTAAAACTGCACAAAGTTTGCTCAAAGTTTCATCTGAGTGACATTTACAGATCGAAAGTAGTTGAAGGTATACTTTTTCTTAAACTCTGGATTATTTCTGAAAGCCTTCCCAATGACATCAAACAGAAGAAACTCATTTTCTTTCCAAATAAATTTTGAACTTTTTCTCAAACCATTTTGAGTATGTTTTTAAAATAATGTCATTACTATGTTTTTTTTTCAGTATACAAGTCAAATTTGAATTTTCAAAACCTCATGGCCTTTAAACTCGGTTCCAAATGATATTGTTCCATATCACCCTGAAATTTCATCATGTTATTGTAATAAAATTCAAACTACAAAAAAATAATATTTCGTATTGAGAAAGAAAATATTTATTTAAATTTTTGGGATAATTGACATTATTTGATAAATAACTTTACTCGAACTCCATTCATTTTGGTTACACACAACTCGATATTCTATTATCTCTGAGTAACGTTCAGATAATTACCAATATATAAGAAAAGTGATTTATGTATTTTTATATCCTTACTGGATGGATAGAATGGTGTAAATAATATGACTCAAATCTGGGACACTACTTTCGAAAGTTCTTTCATTCCCGCTTCAACAATTTTCCATAAAGTTGGATGTTCCAATTTGTATGTGTCATACCAGTTTTTAACTAGAGGCCAAGGGCTTATGTCGAAGTTGATAGATTCGAGACACATGGTCGCTGTTATCAATTGAAAATCGGCAATTGTCACAGTATCTGAAAACAAAAAAATAAGTATTTCAACTGAACATTATTGCAAATTTAGCATCTATGAAAAGTGAGGTGATGTTGATGTAGAGAAGTATAAATTCATACTTTGAACAAATGTATGTACGATCCTATATTTGAGTGATATGTGCAGTTCAGTTCATTTGTAACGTATAAATTAATTTTCTATGTCATTACAAGTACTAGGCCAGAAATATCTCAATTCTCAAATTCAAAAAGACATATATAATATACTATATACGTCCCTCTTCAAATCACTTATAGTGTATGCACCCCCTTCTTAAACAGATTGGGGATGCACGTGAGTGCTCATTTGAAAGATTTTGTTTACGCTTCAGTGAGAAAATTGATATTGAAAATTCCTAAAAGTATTTCGAATGTATCAAATGTTGGAAATACTTCTTGTATTTCATAACGATGAATGTTATGTTCTTATGTTACTATATATTGTTAAGTTATTGTTAACACATGTCAAGTAATAAAATTCTTGTTCAACTTGTCGAAAGTTTTTTCTCCTGTCTGTTAATCGAGTACAAAGTAAATCTCCATTTTTAGTTTCATTTCAGCCTTAATCCTAACAGGTAACGGTTCTGCCCATACACTGAATTCCGTATGTGGCGTAGAGCTAGCTGCAAATATATATCGTGAGGTTGTTCAATTAATGACCTATTCATTTTGTAGAAATTCATATTGAATATAGGATAAAGAAAATACCTTTTGTCTGATTTCTACTAAGATTTTCATTTCTTACGATCTTAGAAGAAATTAGATAAATGTTATTTTTGTTGGAAGGTGGTTGACAGAAGAAGCTATCCGAAGATGGGGACCTGAAAGATAGAACAAACTTACCAATACAAGTAATCATGAAATTACTAGGATGCTGTGTACGAAACTGCTAATTCCAACTGAAGGACGAATTCTTTACGCAAGATGAAGGACTGCCAATGGGATCGCCACTTTCACCGGTTATAACCAATGTATATATGGAGTGGTTTGAAACTTTGGCCATTGAAGAAGCCCACAAGGAGCCCTGAGTCTGGTTGAGATACGTAGACGACACCTTCATAATATGGAATCATTGGAATGCAGAACTAGACACTTTCCCGAAGCACATCAACAACGTAAGTCCTTCCATCACTTTCACAATGGAGAAGGAAGTCCACAACGAATTGCTTTTCTTAGACGTATTGGTGAAGAGGACCGACACTAAATGTAAAACATCTGCATGTCGAGAACCCACTAACACAGGACAGTATCTGAACCAGAAATCTAACCACCAACAATCGACTAAGAGAGGAATCATCAAGACTCTACTAGACCGTGCTTTCGGGCTCTGTAATACAAAGGAAGGTCTCGAAAAGGAACTGGGCATCATCAAAAATGACCTTCAACGGAATAGTTACTCCAGAGTGATGGTAGAACAGGCTTTAGCTAGAAGAAAGCAAGAGCTCCTCGAGGAAGAGGAGCCGTCACAACCAGTACTTGTACTTCCCTACATCAGAGGATTATCGAAAAGGATAAGAAACATTGGGTCCAAGTATAACATCAAGACCTGCTTCAGATCTGGGAACACCATCCGTAGCAGCCTCACGAAAACCAGGCCACCAAACGCAGACTGCGATTCCAAGAATTGCATTGATATTCTACCTGAATGTCTCTTATGGGTTAGACATGTTTCACTGTGCTGTCATAAAAGTATTATAAATTAGTAAATTATTATCTTACAAGCTTTGTTAGTGAGCAGTGATTGTGCATATAGAATCGTTCTATATTACATCGCTGAATTGGTACTTGATTTGCACGATAAAACAAAATTTGAATATGGGTTCTCGAGCCAACAAACGGGGCGAGGAAGATCTGCAGACGTTAGTCAGAAATTTAGTTCTGAAACTTTGTTCTTCTGAAGAATTTATCAACCAGGTAACTATCACTATAACAGAGACACTCAACGAAACATTTGAAAAAGAAATTCAATTGTTGAAAGAAAAAAAATGAGAGTATGTTGATGAACTTAAAAAATCAAGAAATACAAATAAACACACTCATGGAAAAACAAAAGAAATATGAACAGTATAGAAGAAGTCGAAATATCATAGTTTATGGTGTTTCAGAGGAAAATGATGATATTTTTAAAAACGAAATCAAACTGCATATTGATCATGTAACCATTGAGAATTGCTATAGAATGAAATCGGCGAATTTGAATAAACCCAAACCTATTTTTGTGAGATTTACCACGAACAGTCTTGAAAAGATGTTTACCATAAGAAGAATTCTCTGAAAAACACTGGGCTCATCATTAGGGAGGATCTAAGTAATCAGCAGCGTCAAATTCTCACCGGTGCCATCAGAAGATTTGGTAATAATGGAAAAGTATGGACCAACCGGGGAACTATTTTTGGTAAAATCAACGAAGAAGCAAATGTATCTAAAATAAATTCCTTTGGTGATCTTGATAGACTTTCTATCTGAATATTTATTCTTTCTTTGCTCATTTTTTCAATA